TTTCCATTTCCCCATTATTTCCCCATTTGCCATTTTCTCTTTTCCCCCCTTCCCCCCCCCCCCCGTTTTTCTCCCCGCTGCTTTTCCTCTCTTTCCCAATTTCTCCCCATGAACCCATTTCTGTTTTTTTCCCATTTCCCCGCTTTCCCCTTTCTCCCGTTTCCCCGCATTTTCCCGTCTCATTTTTCCACTCCCTTTGCTTTCTTTTCTCTCCTCCATTCACGTTCCCACTTTCCCTTTCCTTTCCTCTGCATCTTTTCCCTTTATGCCCTTTTCCCTTTATATCCCCCCACTTCCCGCCCTTTCCCATTTCCCCCCCTTCAGCCCCACTCCATTTTCCCACTTTCCCACTCCCCACTTCCTCTTTTTGTTCCATTTTCCCGTTTCCCGGCATTCTGTCTCACCTCCCCCCCTCCTTTTCCATCGTTTCCCCCTTCCCCTCCATTCCCCTTTTCCCGATTTCCCTTCAATTCCCCCCGCTCAGGGGCGGTGCGATCCGTTCGGGATGAGGATGTCGGCGGGTGTCTGGGGGGGGGTCGGAGGCAGCGCCCGGCGGGGGGTAGGGGTGGGTCGCGGGTTCCGGCCGGGCTCCGCTCCCCTCGCGCTGCCGCCGCGGTCCCTCTAAGCGGCGCTCAGCCCCGCGCCCCCCTCCCCTCCCCCCCGAGCAATTGGGGAAGCTGCCGCATAGCCGTGGGGCCGCCCCACATCCGTGGGAAGCGAAACCGCCCCGCAGCCCAAGCGGCGGGGGTGCGGAGCGGTGCGGGGCAGTTCGTGCCCCCCCGGCGCTGCAGGCGGGCGCTGAGGACGGGGAAGAAGCCCCGGGGGGGTTCCGCACCGCACGTGTGGGCGGTCTCCTCGCAGCCCCCGCGCCCACGAGCGGCGGTCGCAGAGCCCCGCGGAGCTCCGCAGAGCGCCGCATCCGGCCCGGGACGCCCGGCGGCCTTGACCCCCCCCGAACGGCCGGGGCTGCGCGCTCGCTGGCGGCGCTGCGGGTTGGGCTCCCGCCGTGCGCGGCGGTCCCGGGGGTCCCAGAGGCCCCAGCGCTGCTGCGCCCCGTTCACTCCGTTCCGCTCCCGTCGGGTCGGCCGCCACTCCGCCTCGAAGGGGCGCTTCGTTACCGAGTGCCTCTGCTTTGGGCCATTTCTGCCTCTTTTGGACAACTTCTGCCCACGGGGACGCCGGGGACACTCGGGGAACTGAGGACGTGGGGCAGAGCTGTGCGGCAGCTACGGGGCAGCTGTGGGGCAGAGCTACGGGGCAGCGCAGCGGGACAGCTATGGGGCAGCTGTGGGGCAGAGTTCCGGAGCAGACCCGTTTGGCTTTTGCCCTTTTTTGGCTCTCTCGGCCCTTCCCCGCCCCCTCTCCCCACTTCCGCCCCCCACGGCCGCGCGTGGGCTGTGGGTGTGGGGCAGACCTCCCTGCTCCCCGCCATGGGGCTGTGGGTGCTGCTGCTGCTCGGCGCAGGTCTGGAGCCAAATGCGGTGCTTTTGGGGCTGGGGGGAGCGGGGGGTGTGGAGGGAGAGACCCTGGCAGGAGGGGGAGTCCGAAGGTCTGACGGACAGATGGGGGAGAACCCCAAAGTGCCCCCAATCCCCAACCCCCGTTTTCCCTCTGGCGGCCGGCACCCTAGGCCCACAGACACCCCCGGGCTCTGCTGCCCCACAGCCCTCCAACCCCACAGAGACATTGGGACCGCTGGGGACATGTCAGGATGGGGCGCGGGGGGGCGGGGGGGAGCCCGGGATGGGGGAGCGTGGGGATGTGGGGACATGGAGAGGTCCTGGGGGACAGTGGAGTCATGGGGCAGCTGTAGGGCAGCTGTGGGGAAGCTATGGGGAAGGTATGGGGCAGCTGTGGGGCAGCTGTGGGGCAGCTGTGGGGCAGCGCTGCAGTGCCACAGCTGGGCGGCTCTCTCACGTTCAGCCATTTCTTCCCAGTTCCTTCCCCATTCTGCCCATTTCTGCTTCCGTTCCTCGCCCATTCCACTCCCATTTGACACTTTGCTGCCCATGATTTCTGCCCACTTCTGCCCATTTTTGCCCATTTCTGCCCATTTCCTGCTGCCCGTTCCCCAGAGTTCCACGCCTCCCATTCTGTGCCTCTGTTTTGGACCATTTCTCTCAATGTTCTTCCATTTCTTTCCACACCTCTGCCCAATCCAATTCCCTCCCATTCTGACAATTCCTGCTCCTTTTTGCCCATTTCTTCTCCTTTTTGTCATTCCCCTCTTTTTTTTGCCCATTTCTGCCTCCTCCCCCCTCTGTCCATTCCATCCCTCTTTCCCCATTTCTGCACGTTTCCCCTTTTTCCCCATTTCCACCCTTTCAGGTCTTTCCTTGCCCGTTCCCCCCATCACAGTTCCCCCTCCTCCCCATTTCTTTCCATTTCCCCTTTTTCTCCCCATTTCCTTCCATTCCTTTCCCTCTTTACCCAGTTCTGCCCCTTTTCCCCCCAGCCCCAACCCGGGACCCCCCAACCCTTTGGGGCAGCAGAGCTCTGAGCTCAGGGGGGCGCGGGGGGTCCCAGAGCCCCCTGGCGTTGCTCTGCCCCACTCTCTCCATCCTGCTCCGGTCCCACCAGTTTTTGCCCTTTGGCTCCATCCCCATTCCTGCCCATTTCTGAGCACCACTCTCCAGTCGGTGCCATTTCTGTCACTTCTGGTCATCTTTGCCCGTGGGGACACTGGGGACATCGGGGGAACTGGGGGCGTGGGGACACAAGCTGCAGGACTGGGGATGCAGGGCAGCGCAGCGGGACAGCTATGGGGCAGCTGTGGGACAGTTATGGGGCGGCTGTGGGGCAGAGTTCCGGAGCAGACCCGTTTGGCTTTTGCCCTTTTTTGGCTCTCTCGGCCCTTCCCCGCCCCCTCTCCCCACTTCCGCCCCCCACGGCCGCGCGTGGGCTGTGGGTGTGGGGCAGACCTCCCTGCTCCCCGCCATGGGGCTGTGGGTGCTGCTGCTGCTCGGCGCAGGTCTGGAGCCAAATGCGGTGCTTTTGGGGCCACTGGGAACACGTTGGGATGGGGTGTGTGGGGATGGGGGGGAGCGTGGGGATGTGGGGAGAAATGGGGAGGGGGTGTGACAGTGGAGGGATGTGGGGACATGGGGGGACATTGGAGGTCAGTGGAGATACAGGGTCACAAGGAGCAATATGGGAATGTGGGGGGTCGGGTGAGGAGGGGTGATATTGGGATGTGGGGTGATGAGGGGGGATATATTGGGATGGGGAAAACCGGGGGACATGGGGGGCACATTGGGGACATGTGGGGACATTGGGGACATGTGGACATACAGGGGACTTGAGGATGCGGGGGCACATGGGGACATGGAGGGGTGGAGGGACATGGAGGACACAGGGATGGGGGAGGACATGGGGACATATGGGGACAGAGGGACAATGGGGAACATGGGGTGCCTGTGTGGCTTTGTGGGATCTGTGGGGCTCTATGGGATTCTGTGAGTTCTATGAGGCTCTGTGGGATCCTTTGGGACTTAATGGGGCTCTGTGGGGCTCTGTGGGGTCTACAGAGCTCTATGGGGCAATGTGGACTCTGTGGAGGCTATGGGCTGTATGGGTCCCCATGGGTGTCCCCCGCCCCACAGCTCTGCCCCACAGCTGCAGCTCTGCCCTCGACTTGGACTCTGCTGTGGCCTTTGAGGGTCCTGGTTCCTTCGGCCTCAGTGTGGCACAGAGCGACGACGGGTATGGAGCTGCCCCACAGCTTGTGGGGCCTCCCCAGGATTCCGTGGGGCAACCCACAGAATACATGGGGTGCCCCATAGAATATTTGGGGTGGCTCGTGGAATGTATTGGGTGGCTCATGGGGCAAATGGGAGCCCACTGTGATATCTGTAGGGCACCCCATAGAAATCTATGAGGCACCCCATGGAACTTAGAGGGTGACTTACAGAAGCTGTGCGGTGCTCTACATAACCTGTGGGATGCTCTGGAGAATCTGTGTGGTGCCCCACTGAATTTTGAGATGCCCCACAGTCTGTGCAGTGCCCCATGGAAGCTATAGGGTTGCCAGTGTGACCTATAGGGCAGCCCACATAATCTATGGGGTACCTATGTGAATCCATGGGGTGCCCCACATAACCTATGGGCTCCCTACTGACTCTGTGACTGCCCCACAGAATCGATCGGGCACCCTATGGGAATCTGTGGTTACCCTACTGAATCCATCTATCCCCCCAAGTAATCTAGGGCTGCCCCACGGAATCTGTGGGACACACCACTGAATCTGTAGGGTGGTCTGTTTAATCTATGCGGTGCCCCACTGAATTTAGTGGTGCCCCATGGAACCTATGGAGCACCCCATATGTCCTAGGGGGCTCCCTGCTGACTCTATGACTGCCCCACATAATCTGTGGGGACCCAGTGTAATCTGTGTGGTGCCCCATAGAATTGAAGGGGTATCTAAGTGAATCTGTGGGTCACCCAATGGGATCTATGGAGCACCCAACTGAGCCCCACATCCCCCCATCACAGGGTGCTGGTTGGGGCTCCCCTGGACTTGGGAGGCCGAGGCCGTGTCTATCGATGCCGTGTGGGGGAGAAGAGTTGCAGGGATGCAGATGTTGGTGGTGAGAGCTATGGGGCAGCCCCACACATGTGGGGCACATGGTGTGGTGTGCAGCTGCCTCAAATGTGTGTCTCATGGGGAGTTGTGGGGTGGGCCGGGGAAGGGGGGAGGGACGTGGGGCAGCCACAGTATGTGGAACTGAATGGGGAGTTTGTGGGGTAGCCTCACATGTGTGGGGCAGCCCCAAATGTGTGAGTCCTGAGGGAGTTGTGGGGCAGTACTATATGTGGACCTTAATGGGATGTTATGGGGCAGCCTTGATGTATGGGTCCGAGTGGGAAGTTGTGGGGTGGCCTCAATGTATGAGTCCTATGGGCAGATATCAGGCAGATCGGAGGGGGTCCCAATGGGAGGTTATGGGGCAGGGGGTGGTGTGGTGCTGCCCCACACATGAGTCCTTTGGCAAGTTTTGGAGCTGCTCCACAAGTGTGGGTGCTATGGAGTTCCCTGCCCCACAGACCTCCTGGATACGGGTCCCATGGCAATGGGAATGTCCATGGCTGCCAACGGATCCCAGCTCCTGGTGGGTGCTATGGGGTGCTGTGGGGCTCTCACAGGTCTATGGTGTCTGTCAGGCTCTGTAGGCTTTATGTCTCTGTGGGGTGCTATGGGTCACTATGGAGTTTGGGGTCTGCTGGGCTCTATGGGTTCTGTGGGGTTCTGTGGGTCTCTATGGGTGCTGTGGAGCTCTGTGGGGTATTGTGGGTTACTATGGGGTTTATGGGGGTCTGTTGAGCCCAATGGGTTCTATGGGGCTTTGTGTGTCTCTGTGGGTCACTGTGGGTCTGTGTGGGGTGCTGTTGGTCTCTATGAGATGCTATGGGTCACTGTGGTTCTCTGTGGGGCACTATGGATCTCTCCGGGGCTCTATGGGATGCTATGGGGGCTCTATGGGGAACTGTGGGGCTCTCTGGAGTGCTGTGGGGCTCTATGGAGTGCTATGGGTCACTGTGGATCTCTGTGGGATGCTGTGGGGTGCAGGCCTGTGGCCCGATGGCGCAGCGGATGTGTGGGGAGAATGCGGAGGTTCCGGGGTTGTGCTTCCTCGATGGCTCCCTAGCGACCACCCCACGAGGTATGGGGCACGTGGGGGGCAGCAGTGGGGCAGAGGGGCTCTGTGGGGTGGAGAAGACCCAGCACCGTCGTCTGTGGGTTCTGTGGGGCCAGGATGGGGCACAGAAGTCCTAATGTCATTGTCACTGGGATCTGTGGGGTGGACATGGGGCGGAGAAGACACAGTGCCGTTGTTGTTGAGATCTATGGGGCAGATATAGCATCTATGGGGCAGACGCGAGGCAGAAAGGATCCAATGCTGTTGTCATTGGGATCTGTGGGGCAAAGACTCAGCGTTGGGTTCAGTGGGATCTGTGGGTGGGGACGGGTTGGATGAGACTCACCAAACTGCTGCACTCCACCACCTGCTCCACCACCTGCCCACAGCTTGCCCCACATCGTCCTCCGACATCGTGTTCCTGATGGACGGCTCCGGCAGCGTGGCAGCGTTTGACTTCTGGCAGATGAAGACATTCGTCATCGAAATCATCAAACGCTTCCGTGGGACCAACACCCGCGTGCGTGACACACGGTGCTATGGGGCTGCCCCGCAGCAGGGCCCCACAGAATCTATGGGGCGCTCCATAGAATTCTTGGGTTACCCAAGTGAATCTATGGGGCGCCCAGACTCAGCTCTGCACTGCCTGACATCCCTCGCGGGGCGTCCCGCTGTGTTTGGAGCTGCCCCATGAAATTTATGGGTACCTGTGGTTGCCCCACATAATATATGGGGCACCTAGTGTAACGTGTGGGGCTTTGTGGGGTGCTGTGGGGCCCTGTGAGGCTCTGTGGGTTTCTGTGGGATGCTGTGGGGCTCTGCGGGGCGTTATTGGAGGCTAAGGGGAGCGGAGCTCTGCGGGGTTCCGTGGGGCCACGTGGGCTCCACGTTGGGCTGCGGGGCGCTGTGGGGCTCTGCGGGGCCATGGGGCTGCGAGGGGCTCTGAGGGGCTCTGCGGGGGCCGCGCGCGGTACGATGGGTGCCGTGGCCGCGGCCCGCAGTTCGCAGTGCTGCAGTTCTCCACCGGCGTGGAGGTGCACGTGGGCTTCCCCGACTTCGACCGCCTGCCGGCGGAGGACCTAGAGCGGCTGCTGCTGGGGGTGGAGCAGCGCAGCGGCGTCACGCAAACGGCCTCCGCCATCCGCGTCGCGCTGTGCGTCCCCCTGCCCCCCACCCCCCTTCCCTCCCCTCGCCCCCGCCCGCCCGGCGCTGACGCCGCTGCGCGCAGGACGCGGGTTTTGGCGGGGAGCCGCGCGGGGGCCTCCAAGGCGCTGATCGTGGTGACGGACGGGCAGAAGTACGGCGATGCGCTGCAGTACGGCGACGTCATCCCGGAGGCCGATCGCGCCGGGGTCGTCCGCTACGCCATCGGGGTGAGCCGGCGTGCCGAGCTCCTCGCCCCGCATCCCTGCAGGACCCCAAATCCTGACCCGAATCCGTCCTCAAAACGCCCCGAACGCCCGCGTTCTCCTCGAAGTCCTTACCCAAAATGCCCAAATTCCTGCAAATTCTCCCCAAATCATCCCCCAAAAACCCGAAATCCTGAATTCATCTCCAAAGGCCCCAAATTCCTCTCCCACAATCCGCCTCTCAAAACCCTCAAACCACAAAATCCATCTCCCGTGCCCCAAACCCAATCCCCAAAGCTCCCAAATCCCAAATTCGCCCCCAAGCACCAATTCCCCCACGGAAAAACCAAGAATCCCAAATCCACCCGATGCATCTCCACAACTCCCTAACGAATCCCCAAAACCAGACCTGTCCCCCACATTCCCCACAAATTCTCCCCGGCTCCCCCCCGAAGCCTGACCAAAAGCGCCCCCCCCCCCCCCCCCACTCCATAACCCCACACCCACCCAAAGGCCCCAATTCTGCTCATTCCCCCCAAACCATGCCCCAAACCCCATCCCCCAAACCCCAAACTCATCACCCAAAACCCACATTCTCCCCAATTCGCCACCAAACCGTCCCCAAAAATCACGAGCCCCAAATTCCTCCAAACTGCCCCCAAATCATAACCCAAGTCCCTCCCCCCAGAAAACCCCAATGCCAATCCCCAAACCCCAAATTCCCCCAAATCCTCCCCAAGAACCGTGGGGCTCTATAGGGCTCTCTGAGTCTCTCAGGGCTCTGCGGGGCATCATGAGGCTCCGTGGGGTCCGTCGGGCACTATGGGACGCCATGGGGCTCTGTGGGATGTAGGGGGCTCTATGGGGCGCCAGTAGCTGTGGGGCACCCGAGGGACATTGGGGGGACACCGAGAGCGACAGGGGCGGGGGCTCCACACAGAGGCACTGGGGACACTGAGAGGTTGGGGCATGGAGGTGCCACCAGGAACGTGGGGCAGTGAGAAGGGGCGCAGAGTGCCGGGACACCGGAGCGTGGGGGCACCGCGGGGACACCAGGGACAGCAGGGACACGGGAAGCTCTGGGGGACACCCAGGTGAGATGGAGGCCATGGGGACACGGAGGTGACGCAGGACGCGAGGGCACCTCATGCTGCGGTGACACCAGGAGCACGGGGGACGCCAGTGTGATGTCAAGTTGTGGGGATGCCAAGAGGGTTGGGACACCAGAGCACGGGCCCCGCGAGCTCTGAGGCACCGACGGCGTGGGGAGCAGCAGGGGCAGCGAGACACCCAGAGCTCGGGGACGGCTGTGTGACGGCGGGGCGGTGGGACACCGTGAGCGACGTCCCCGCAGGTGGGCAGCGCCTTCAAGGACCCCAAGGCGGTGGCGGAGCTGCAGACCATCGCCTCGCCCCCCCCCGAGGCGCACGTCTTCCGTGTGGACAACTTTGAGGCACTGCGCGGCATCCAGGAGCAGCTGCAGGACAAGATCTTCGCCATCGAAGGTATGGCCCTGCGGCGCGGCCCCGTGGGGCGCCGGGGCCCAGCTCACCCCACCGTGCCCCCAGGGACCCGGCCGGCCTTCGGGAGCTCCTTCCAGCTGGAGATGGCTCAGGAGGGCTTCAGCGCTCTGCTCACCCCCGTGAGTGTCCCCACCGCCAGCCCAGCGCCACACGCCTGTCCGCGCAGACCCAAAGCCCGTCACAACCCCATGTGGCCCCCGAGGCGCCGCAGAGCCCCATAGAGCCCGCGGAGCGCCACAGAGCTCCGTAGACCCACAGGGACCCACCGGATGCCCCCAAACCTGCCAGAGTTCCCCAGGACTCCTCGACCCCCTTCAGACACCCCTAAGCCCACCTGAGATCCTCAGGGCCCCATCCCGCCCCGCTCAGCCCCCCAACCCCTCCCCACCCTCCCCACTGCAGGAGGGGGCGGTGCTGGGAGCAGTGGGCGCCTATGACTGGGCCGGAGGGGCCTTCGTCTACGGGGCCGATGGGAAGGTCGCCTTTGTCAACGCATCCGAAGGGGACGGGGGCGCGAGCGACGCGTACCTGGGTGAGGACGTGGGGTCCTGGGCTCCTCAGGGGGGTCTCTGTTTGGCGGGGGGTCTCGGCACCCTCATGGGGGTCTCTTGGTGGAGGGCATCCCCGAGGGGATGTTGGAGTCCTCCTGATGATCAGGGGGCAGTGTGCCACCCGCGGGGGTTTTGGGGTCGGTGGCTGTCCCCTCTTGGGTCATGGAGATAGCGGGGCTCTCACGAGGGCGATGGGATGGTGGTGATCCCATGGGGATAACGGAGTTTGGGGGGGGGTCTCAGGGCATTCACGGGGCTCTTGGGGCCGTTGTGACAGTCCAGGAGATGATGGGGTCCCCGCAGAGACAGAGCTGTCGCTGTGTGGGTCTCGGGTGCGGCAACGATCCCGTGGGGGTCCCAGAGCTGTGGATGTCCCCATGACCCCACGAGGAGCTGCGGGGCCGCCCCCCCCATGGGTCTGACCCGCCGCCCCCCTGCCCGCAGGTTACGCCACTGAGTCTCTGTCCCTGGGGGGGCTCCGGGCGCTGGTGCTGGGTGCCCCCCGGTATCGCCACGTGGGCCGCCTGCTCCTTTTCGTGCTGCCCCACGGGGGGAAGTGGGAGCTGCGCTCTGACGCCATGGGGCGGCAGGTGATGGCGGGGGGACGTGTGGGGCATGGCATGGGGTGGGAGGAGCCCCGAGGCTGACACTGTCACCCACAGGTGGGCTCCTACTTTGGGGCAGCACTCTGCGCTCTGGAGGGGTCAGGGGATGGCGTGGCACTGCTGGTGGGGGTCCCCATGTTCTACGGAGACGGCACCGGGGGACGCGTGGAGGTCTGCACGGTGCTGCCACAGGTACGGACCCCCAGCACGGCCCCATGGTGCTCAGCTAGTCAATAAGTCAACTGCAAACCAACCCCAGTCCAACCCCTATCCCAACTCCATCCCCATCCCTATCCCCACACCCATCCCATCCTACCCCATCCCTCCCCATCCCATCCCATCCCATCCTCACCCCACCCCACACCACCCCATGCCACACCACCCCACCCCATCCCATCCCATCCCATCCCACCCCATCCCTCCCCACCCCATCCCACCCCATTCCATCCCATCCCATCCCATCCCATCCCATCCCATCCCATCCCATCCCATCCCATCCCATCCCATCCCATCCCATCCCACCCCACCCCATCCCATCCCATCCCATCCCATCCCTCCCCATCCCATCCCATACCATCCCACCCGATCCCATCCCATGCCACCCCACCCCATCCCATTACACTCCATCTCATCCCACCCCACCCCACCCCACCCCATCCCATCCCTATCTCCTCACCCATCCCATCCTTACCCCCATCCCTATCCCCACCCCTATCTTCATCCCATCCCATTCCCATTCCCATTCCTGTCCCAGCCTTGACCCACACCTGTCCCCGCGCCCCCCACGTGTTGCTTGCTGTAGGGCCGTGCGCTGTGGTGCCACCGGATGCTGCGGGGTCAGGCCGGACACCCACTGGGGCGCTTTGGGGCCAGCGTTGCTCGCCTTGGGGACATCGACGGGGACGGGCTGCATGATGTGGCTGTGGGTGCTCCCATGGAGGATGACGAGCGTGGCGCCGTCTACATCTTCTGTGGGGAGAAGGGTGGCATAAGTGACCACTACAGCCAGGTGGGACCACCCCACTGAGAACCACCGAACCCCACAGCGTCCCATAGATCCCAAAGACCCCGAAGGGCCCTTCAGAGCCCCCAGGTCCCACAGACCCCACAGTGCACAGCTGCTGCTTGGAGGTCGGGTCCCACCCTCATGCGTTCTGTCCTCCACAGCGCATTGCAGGCTCCTCGTTCCGCAGCGCCCCGCAGCACTTTGGGCAGGCGCTGAGTGGGGGCCGCGACCTGACGGGGGACAGACTGCCGGACTTGGCCGTAGGCGCACAGGGACAGGTGCTGCTGCTCAGGTGGGAGTGCCGCACCGGAGCCCCATTGTCAATCCCAGCCCCATACCATCCCCAGCTCAAACGGCCTAGCCCCATACATTGCCATCTCTGACCCTAATCCCAGCCAAACACCAGCCCTAACTCCCCATCCCCAAACTCAACCAGCCACGTCCCATCCCACCCCCACCCCATCTCCATACCCATTCCCATTCTCAACCCCAACCTGTCCGCGTCCCCACCCCGACCCCCACCCCCAACCCCTTCCCACCTCACCCCACCCCACGTTCTTCCCTCCTCCACGCCGCCGCCCCGCAGGTCCCCACCCCTGCTGAAGGTTGAGGTGACGGTGACCTTCAGTCCCCCGGAAATCCCGACGTCTGCCCTCGACTGCCACCGGGCAGAGGAGGAGGAGCTGAGCGCCGCCGGGGCCGCGGTAGTGACCACAGCCGAAGTATGCTTTGTCGGCACCAAGAAGAGCCGTGACAGCTTGGGTGAGAGCACGGGCCCCCCGTGGGCGGGCGCCCACCCATCGGCTACCCGCGGGACCCCCAGCCCCTCCGGGCGCCCTCACGACCCTTCGAGTCCCATCGGCCCTCGCCAGCAACCCCTCCCGACGCCCCCCGACCCGCCGGGCCCCACAGCGCCCCGCGGAGCCACGCAGCGCCGCGTCCTGCCGACCGCAGGTTCCCTCGGCGCCGCCCTCCGCTACCGCCTGCACTTGGACCCCGGCCGCGCCGCGCGCGCCGTCTTCGTGCCGGGCGGCGCCAGGAGCAACGGGACCGCGCACGTGGCCGAGGGGCTCCGCTGCCGGACCTTCGGCGTCGCTCTGGCGGTGCGTGCGGCGCGGGTGCCGGGGGCGCGGAGCTGCCCCGCGCGGGGCCGCCGCCGCCACGGGCGCTGTGTGTGGGTCCCCAGGGCTGCCCGGCAGACACGCTGAGCCCCGTGGGGCTGCGGGTGGCCTTCGAAGCGCGCGGGGACGCGCTGCAGCACGAGCAGGGGCTGCGCGTGGCGCTCAGCCGCGACACGCAGTGGGCCGTGAGCGCCGCGGTACGGGAACGGCGGGGGGCGAGAGGGGAGGGAGAGCGGGGGGTGAGAGGTGGGTGGGAGCCTGGGGCGGGCGAGGCGGTCGGGAAGTGTTCAGGAAACGTTCTGAGCTGCGGTGGGCGCCTGGAGAAGGTGGGACGGAAGGATGGGATGGGGTGGGGTGGGATGGGATGGGATGGCAGCGTGGGGTGGGGGGAGGTGGGATGGGGATGGAGAGGGTGCGATGGGAGGGAGGGACAGGACGGAGACGGTTGCAGTGGGAATTTGGGGTGCGTGGATGGAGGGATAGGATGGGATTGGAGGGACGGGATGGGTGCGTGGGGTGGGTGGAGAACGTGGGGTGGGAATTGGTATGGGGAGAGGGATGGATGGGGATGGAGGCGATGGGATGGATGGAATGGAGATGGTTGGGGTGAGTGGAGAAGGGATGGAAATTCAGGATGGACATTGGGAGGGATGGAGACATGGAATGGATGTAAAAGTTGGGTTGGAAACGTGGGGCGCATGGAGAGACAGGACGGAGATGTGGGGGATGGAGGGATGGGACGGAGATGTGGGGGATGGAGCAGAATGGATGCAGCCGGGGCGTGCGCTGGGAGGCTGGGATGGAGGCATGTGCGCCGGCCGCCAGCTGCCCTTCGAGAAGAACTGTGGTGAGGACAACCAGTGTGTGCCCGAGCTGCGCGTGGCCCTCGGCTTTCCAGGGTATGTCTCCCCCGTGGCCTCACCTCGTGCGGGGCACCCCACCTCCCCGCCCCACACCCACTGCCGCCTCCCCATAGGCTGGAGGAGCTGGTGGTGGGTGCCGCTGAGGACGTCACCGTCACCGTCACCGTGCAGAACGTCGGGGAGGACGCCTATGGGGCCCACGTGGAGCTGCAGCACCCCAAGGCACTCTCCTACCGCAAGGCCACCATGCTGCAGGTGCCCACGGGGAGCGGGGGAACCGCCACACCACAGGGGCTGCCCCACACTCCTTCAGGCCCCCCAGAGCCCCTCCGGATGCTCTCAGAACCCCCAGAATCCCATCCCGGTGTTCTCAAGACCCCATAGATGTCATTACAGCACCCAAATCTCCATCCAGATGCCCTCGAGATCCTCACAGCCTCTACAGATGTCCCCAAGGCCCCAAATTTCCTCAAGTTCCTATAGGTTCCTGCATGTCCCCATACCCCAAACCCATTCCAGATGCCCTCAAGAGTACAAACCTCATCTAGCTGACCCCAATCCCATCCAGAGGCCCTCAAGACCCCTGAGTTTCTCCAGATGCCCTCAAGACCACAGAGAATACCATGTCCCCAGAACACCAAACCCCAATCAGATGGCCCCAAACCTCCTTACCCCACCCCCAGATCCCACCTCAGGTCCCTCCACACACCCCCCACTGCTGACCCAGTGCTCCACAGCCCCACCACAGGTCCCTGGCACAGCACTGCAGCTCAGTGTCTCCAGGAGGTGGGCGCATCCTCTGCAACATCAGCCACCCTGTGCTGTGGGCCGGCCAGCAGGTGGGCTGCTGTGGGGCTCTGTGGGGTGCTGTGGGGTGCCGTGGGGCTCTGTGGGATGCTATAGGCTCTAAGGGAGTCTGTGAGTCTCTAAGGGCTCTGTGGGGTGTTTCAAGGCTCTATGGGCCCTATTGGGCACTATGAGATGCTATGGGGTGCTGTGGGATCTAGGGGGCTCTATGAGATGCTGTGGGGTGC